ATCAGGAAGACATTGATTTCTGTGGAAACTTTGACCTGTACAGAATTCTCTTTTCACAATTTATGGCTTTTACAGTCCTTCATTCTGGCAGGCTCTAAATATCTTTCTGCAGCTATATTATGCAATGGCCTGGGTTATGGAATATTGTATTAAAGGCTGCTGGAATTCTTCAATCCCTCAAATCTTTGCAGGAAGATTAAATGAACTCTGCAGCAGGTTTTTCTAAATTCTATAGTAGTAATATCCAAGCTGTCTAGACTTTTGTTCTTTGGAGTCTATAGTTGTACTGTCACAAAAGAAATTAAAGAAAGTTGGCACATAATACACTGGTTGGGGTTTCTGCTGGGTTACTGAAGAGTCTGCTCTGTAATTCTTAGGCTTAGCAATCTATGAAAATGAAAGATCTTGATGTTCTCCTGAGGTGATATAATGCCAAGCACTATTTTGTTAGGCTTTTATCACCTTTTAGGTAGTCATCTTTGAAATCTAATTACTATTATAAGCACATAAGAGGTACTAATTCTATGTAGAATATGAATTGGAAGGGTAATATTTTGCTGATACTAACCTTCCCACTCTACTTGTGGAAAGCCTTTCTGAACCTCTAATACACAAATTAGACATTTAAGTAATTGCTGCATTGTTTTTCACTTTTTTTTTGTCAAGCTGAAAAAAGAGCAATAAACGTTCTCTTAATGAAATCATCCCAGGAAATCTCACTACATTACAGTAGGAAATTACAGCTTGAGTTCTCAGCTCTGGTCCAGCCATATTGTTCTGTAGCATCCTAGTTGTAGCCAACTACCAAGATCACATGTTCTTAGAATTATTATTTTTTTTTTTTAGTGTTTTGAATGATTTCTAATGTTTGCTTTTGTGGAGAGTGTCCTGCAGAGTTTCTGCAGTAATGCTTACCTGCCATTCCCTGCACAAAGAGTATCTTATCTTGTAGAGTATGTTTTAGGACAACACTACTGAACCACTTCCAGAGCATGTTCTCATGCTAGGCATAACTGGTGGGTAAGATATTTTATGATTCTCACGCAGCTTTTATTTCATACAACCACGAGGCTGATTCAGAAAGCCTCTGATTTTAATTATGAGTGCGTTCCCAAAATAGAGAGGAGTTAAAACATTCATAGACTTTAACTATTTTTATTACATATTGTGATGAATTATTCAACTATGCATTGACTTTGTGAGTTGTGCTAGCTTTGAGACACCTTAGTGTCTATTTCAATAAAGTATTTATGATCTAAACTAAATATTAAGACTCCAGATTGGTCCATTTTATTTACAAGCTGTACTTGTATGCTTAATGTTAGTATGCTTGAATACCTTTCTGAATGTTCCCCTTCACCTCTGGGCAGCTAAGGCAGAGACCAAGCTCTCAGCTTTCTCATCCCTAATATGCAAGTAATGTTAAATATCTGATAAGCACTGTTTAAAATACATTGTATTAAGTGTTATTCAGGATAAAAAAAATGTTAGAAAGCAGCAGGTATTTGTACTTAAGGGCTAAATAGGCTTTTAGCACTTTTGGGGGCAAGTTAAGCATGCACATTGTTACATGTAATAAGCTGAAAAAGTAGCTGTGTAGATCTGTTTGATACCTCACCACAGGTTCTCTACTTTCTACCTTCTACTGTCATGCCTCTTATCTCGGACATCAAATTATGGTGGAAGACTGGCTTAACAGGAGCATCAAACTTGTATAGCACCCTATATACCATCTGTCAGCTTTAGAGGCTGAGCAGTCTTTCCCAGAGAAAGAAATATTTCACAGAGAAAGAAATAGAACTAATCTGTCTAGAGAGCTACCTTTTGTATTTTTTTTTTCTGTGTGCACTTTTCAGACTACTTCAAAGATACTCGGGTGTATTTATAAATTTTACTCTGTTCTCCTATATCTTTCCCCATCTTTGCTCTCCGTTTCTTGCTTTCATCATTCTTATCCTGTGAGACTTCCTTTTATCCTACAATTTTCTTATAACATTATACACATATGCTATTCTAGAGATCAACCATTAGAATTGTTAACAGCTCATGACTCCATTTATCCCTATTTTCATTTAAAGTTCTTGGGACTTGTGCAGGCAGATCATTAAGTGCTTAATTTATGACTCCAGGTTGTGAAGTATGGCTGGATTAAGTATTTGTAGGTTATTCACAAAGAACTTAACTTAAAAAGATTCTATTTCGGTCTCATAAAGTCAAAAGGTTTTAACTTGTATCTGTGAAGACTGAAGTAATTCTGTGAAGATTCTCAAAAAGAGTATAGATTTGTCCAACAGATACCATAGAATGATAACTAAATCACAATAATGAAATCTGCAGTAAGGTATGTGGAATTTCGTGTCCTGAGATGATTGACCTGAACTGAAAGCTCTTCACTGGTTAGTGGAACAGCACTGCCAATGCATCCCTGACAAATAGTCAAAGAAGCAAAGACTAATAAATAAAAACAAAACACCATACTACTACTACTACTACTGCTACTACTACTACTACTACTGCTACTACTACTACTACTAATAATAATAATAAAACCCCCAAAGACAAAAAGAAAAACAATTATTTATTGGAGGTATTTTTATAGCAGATGTTGAAGGAAAAAGAGGAAAATTAACATTTGAGATGCCAAATGTAGAATCAGGAGGTTCTTCAGTAAGCTTCTTGCACATGAATAGCCAGTAGCAATTTATGTGTACTGTGAAAGACTTCTGAGGACTTCCTTCTATGTGGACCCATGACAGGCAGACAGGCAGGGCTGGGAAGTACAGTCAGTGGATCAGAAACAGCTTTAACCAATTTAGGGGCATCTAAGCCAAATGGTAACAGCATGCTGAGTGCTTCTTGGAAACACACAATCCGACAAAACTCAGTGCCAAAATTCCATGGCACTCAAGATCAGCACAAAGCAAACTCCAGAATATTGGCTATATCCCCCAACCTGGGTTCTCTTAGCATACCATACTAAGCAACAGTAGTTTCAGGAGCAGTTTCGGTGAGGCGTCTCTGCCCATGGCAGGGGGTTGGAACTGGATAATCTTAAAGTCCTTGCCAACCCAAACCATTCTGTGATTACTCGCACTAGCTGACACACTGTGTACATGGTGATCCGTGTGGGCACTTCAGAAAGCTGTGTACGAACAGGGACATACAGCGAAGGCAATGACCTGAGCTCAGCACAGTGAGGACAGGGGTTCTACACATCCATCTCTAATAGTTACTCCAAAAGAGTTACCTCTTTGTCTTTCAGTTGCTAATCCTAAATTACTTGTCTGCTTCAGTTAGCTTTAATTTGTGTGGTGGAAGAGGAAGGGCAGAGCACTTTGGAAACCCTTTGCTTGAAATGGGAGATGCATAGCCCAGCCTGACAGTGACTGTACAAAACCTCCCAAAGCACTCCACTGCTGGAGGAAGTCATGTAAGGGATCAAAGCGGGGAATTCTCTATATGTGTAGCAGGTTTTGTAGGAAGATGTCCACATCAGGAAGCATTAGTGACCTAAGGAAAATAAAAGAGACGGTCCAGAACAACTGGCAGGGGAACAAACTGCTGCATTGGTAGTATTTCTGGAAGCTCATATATATGTATCTGCTTATATATATGGAATTCCATATTCATATATATGTATATTCCAACTTTAAATTAATCTGAGACACACGAGTCTATAAAGTGAAATGAGTTGTGAGTATTGTAGAAACAATATATAAACATTATGTGCTAAGTTAGTAGAAAAAAATGCTGTAGAACTAGGCAAATTGCGGAAGGTTGTTTAATTTTGTCAGTTTGAGGGTGTTCTGCTGCTTTGTGTGATTTTTCCTTTTGAAAGGAAGGAGTGTTGCAAATTCTTCTTTACTATTTTAAAATATTCTCCAATTTTGTTAATTTGTTAAAGGCTACTGTTCTGAGAAATGTTAAGCCATTTTGGAAATGCTGAGATACTTATGAATATTCCCAGCTGTACATTTCCATCCCCTAAGGTATTCTCTCTTTTAAGGAAAAAACATGCACAGGTATGCTAACAAAGTTATTCCTTTGCCCTCATTTTTGGCAAAACCAAAATAAAATTTCAGTAGAAGTATATAAAAGCTTAAAAATCCTCCCTCCTGGGGAAATAGCGAGAGACTGAACTTAATGGGTTTTGACCAAGAACATGTGCCAATTTTCAGCAGTCTAATGGCAGCATAAGAAGCTCCTGAATGAGGAAATTTATAGTGGAAATGTTGGCAGGAATTTACCTAGCACAGTTTAAATGGTACCACTATGTTAAGAAATACACTGGATACCAGACAGCTTTCTGTGGAAAATGATAAATATGCCAGGTCTCTGTAGGGGATCTCAGCAGAGACATTTTTATTATCCAGAGTAGTGGGTCTTTTTACTGTGATGTTGGTTTTATGCATGATATATGGGAACAGAGATGAAAATAACATTTGTTAGCTGTTAAAATTTTTATTTCAGCACGTTCTATAGTGTGTATTTACACCGTGCTTACTTAATTATTTTACTGTGTCTCTAGTACAGCCTTTTTAATTTCATTTTATCCTTCTTCGAGAGTACAGATGTGATGCAAACTCTCAGAATTAATACTGTTGATCACTTGCATGCTGAGCTGCATGCTGGTAATAGGAAGTGCCCTGAATTAAATCTTAGGAATTTAGACTGGTTCCCAGTGAAGAAGTAAACAAACAGCATGAAAATGACAGAGCAGGAGTTATACCTTCCCGCCCTCTCCTTTCCAAACCAGACAGCATTTTAAGCCAGATTTTTGCCCCTTGTCAATTCAGTATTAGTTAGCATTGTTTTACCATGTGTAGTTGTTTTCCAGAATAGCAGCAGAAATTAAGTAATGTTATTTATAAGCACAAATGTTAATATAATATCTAAGTGTTAGGTTCCTAGTTTTGTTCTCTGAATGAAAACTCTGTACTTCTGATGAACTCCAGACAATCTTTGGTTTTGTTATTTAATCTGCATATACTTTCCTGCAGGGTGAGATCCAACAGCTGTTGATTATAGCTGACCCCAGAGCTGCATATGACTATTGTGAGCATTATAGCCCAGACTGTGATTCCCCAGTGCCCAATGCTGCTCAGGCTCAAGATCCTCAGGTTGATGAGGTGAGTAATCAGTCATGTATTACTAGATTTATTGCACATTAGTGGTTGTGCTGGATATGTTATTCAAGGAGCATTTACAGCTAAATAGCATGCATTGTTCTGAATATGAGGGAGAAAAGTTGCAGGAGGGCATTCATTTTTGCTATCCACTCATTTACATCAGGCATTTGAAGGAACCTGTCACACTGGTATTTGAATAACCAGCATGCTCAATGAAGTTAAACTGTAAAAATGATAGCAATGTTTGTTTAGTTGTAACTGTTTGTTCTTCTTGTGTGCGTGTATGATTTCACTGATGCTGAGCACCATCAGATGCCACATTTGAAAAACACTGGAGCTATCAGTATTCTAGTTGCCAGAAATGCTGTGTATTCTCATGAGCTGTGTCCAGTGTACAAATGCGTGTATACACAAAATTATTTCAGCCAGCTCCACTCTTGGGAGGTAAATAGGGACAAAACAGAATTGGAATTTTCCCCAGGAATGCATAAAATGTTTACAGAAAGCATTTGTCACTGTAGACAGTTCTCACAGCCTTAATTCACTGGGAGTTCCGCACATTAGATGTCTGAGGGTCAACAGTTGTGTGTGTTATTATACACATTCTAAGTACTTGCATCAAACAGTGTAAAGTGGAAAGCTATTGCAAAATGTAACTACTCTTAGTTGACTTTGCCTCTGGACAGTTAGTATGCACTCAGCTGTGTGTGATCTGACTGGTTTTTGTTACTGATTGCTCAGGAGATCACCATTAAAAACTTGCTGAATTGTTCTCAGATGCCTCCTTTGAGCTAATTTTGAGACAGAACATTTCCTAAATGCATGGTAATTTTATTTGTTGTTACTATTTCTTCTATCTGACTGAAAATTATGTCATCAAGTGACAGTGATCCATAGGGCCCAGAACTTAGTGCAAAGGGACTCCCACATCCATTGCATCATAGGTACAGTTCAAGATGTGTCAAGTCAGTTACACAGAGGCAGAGGCCTTTGCATTACATTACAGTGTATGGGGACTGGTCTTTTCGTGAGGACCCTGTAGGACCATCTGCCTATGTGCTTGGCTATGTGGATCTTTGTGCACTATATTCCAAAACAGAATGGCAATCATGGCTCCTGTCCTTCAGTGTGAATGAGGCTTGGAGTCCACAGTCTGGGATCAGACTGTAGATTCAAAATCTATTCAGGATAAAGAATAATGAATACTTGTGCTCCATTTTTAGCAGTGCCTACTAGTGAATTATTTAGAGTGTAATATAATGTTTCTAAAGGATGTATAATATGAATAAAATAGCCTAAGGATTATATTCCCTTCATAATGGATGGCTAGCTAAATCTCCTGCTGTCAAACATTATGTTTATTCTATACCAAAGCTTTTTAACACTGGCATGAGTTGAGAGCATTCATTTGTAGATCGAAAGAAAAATAAGCTTCATCATAATTATAAAAACTCTGTGCACATATATATGCATATTACAGAATTCCGAGCTATATACTCCACATGTATTATAAGCAGTCTGGGGGCACCAAACAAAGAAAGGGAACCATAAATCAAACAATTGGCACTATTGTCCTTGAGGATTCTGAATAGAAACCATCTATAGCCTAACACAGTTGCCACTGGAGTCGGCAAATATTGTTAAATTCAGCAGCCATTGCAGGATTGCTCTTGGACTTAGTGTTTGTTTTTTCTTCAATGTGTTTTTATAAGACCTATTATTTGCCCTGTGATAACACATCTAGTTTGTGGGACTGCTTACAGAGAAAGAAGTAAGATCAAAGATCTTAATTTGCAATGTAACATTCTAAAATTAATTTGCAAAATGGTAGAAAAGAGCTAAAGGATTAAAGAAGCTGGAGAACTGCCATTTCTGTTTGCTTCCATTTATTGCTCTGAATGGTGATTGAATTATTTTGCTTTCCAAGCTAAACCAGAATTTCCTTATTGCTATCCTTGAGTTTATATGTGTAACTTTGTATGACTGTTCCTAGTGAAGTCAATGGATCTCTTGAATGTGTTGGGTAATAGTAACCTGAAATAATCACATTGGCAATGCTACCAGTGTGATGAATATGCAATAGAATGAATGATTGACTGAATTGCCCAGAATTATATAATTTCCTCCTAAATGATAAAAAAAAGCAGCTTGTTAAAGCAGGCTATTTTGTTATCTTTCAAGATGCAGCTCATCAAATCACATCAATAATTAATTTTTCAGGAAAGAAATGAAAAGTCTTATTTAAGTACTGGAAGAAGTTACAGAAGATTAAATAAAAAAATAAAACTATAATTGCAACCTTACTATGTGGAAAATGAGGATTTCAAAATGTCTGATTGTGTGTTTTGAGGACATTACAAGTTTGATAGCACTACCTGAATGAAAAAAAGAAAGCATTGTTTAGTATAAAGTACCTGACAAGCAACTTCAAATCTGAGGGCCTTATTTCAGGAATTCCTATAAAGAGAGAGCTGTTATTGAATTAAGCTTAGAGTAGTTTTAGAGGAATTGTGCTAGCAATATAGAAGTGAGTGTAAAATGGTTACTATTAGAATTTTTCAGTCATAATGTTGCAGAGCAGGGAATGATGATAACACAACTAAAGGCAATATTACAGACATACAAGAAAAGAAAGAAATGCAGGGTAAGCATAAAGGACCAGGAAATATACACTGCAGTGCAGCCTGCTTGCATGTGTTAACAGAAGAACCTTTTGTGTGCATCAAATTATCCCCATTCATCTGCTGTTATATCAGTGAAAGCAATTTTGAGAATACATGATTGATCAAAATGGGATACTAATCAAGCTGAAAGCCAACAGGAAAAGGTGACTGTTTAGCTAGATTGATTTTCTGGTTTCATGTTCCATATTTTCACTTGAACTTTTGTGATAGAAAGAGGGAAGAGAGAACACTGGGCTAGTGGCTAGGCAGAGTGGTGTCTTTCAGTGTCAGCTGTGGTTTAAGCCAGCAGAAGCTGAAAATATTTGTTGGACAGTAGCCTCAAAAGATTCTGGTTGTTAAAGCAGGGAAACAGTTTGTACATGAGCACTCACAGCAAAACTGGCAAAAAACACAGTGCATGTTTTGGTTTGTAAGCAAAGGAATAAGAATACAGATGCGATATTACTTCTTGGTTGAAACATACACTGGAATATCACATACGGTCTTGGTGTTCAGTTACCAAAACAGATGGAAATCACAGAATCATGAGGGTTGCAAGGGATGTCTGGAAATCATCTAGTCCAACCCCCATCATCTAGACCAACCCAGTGATTCAAATAAAAGCCACATAGTTGTTGTGAGTTTGGGTTTGGAAAACTTAATGTGTTCGATTTGTCCACAATAATGACAAAAGCTTGAGATGTTGCTCAGTTACCATATGCAAGGAACCTTCACAAAAATAAAATAGTGGTGGGGGGCGGGTGAGTGAGGCAGGGAGGAAAGAAAGAAAGTTCAGGTAGGAAAAGATCTACTAAAATTTTGAGGAATGAAAGAACAAATTACCAAAGTGGTGTATCTCTAGATATCTTCCAGCCAAGGATAGACACCTTTCTGAAAGCTTTGGGTAATGTCATGTGTACTTTAGTTGGCTCAGTTATAGGGCAACTGTAAGAAGTTTTGAAATCTGAAAGTATGAAGGAGTTAGTCAAGATGAGCCTCTCTGAGCCTTTGAATTATTGCAGACCAGAATAAGAAAGTGATACTTGGCTTAGAGGAAAGAGACAAATTATGTGATTGCAGAGCCCGTTAGCATGTGTTTCCAGCACTGACTACAAACCCCAAAGGAAGTGGTTGACTTTTGTCAGTGAAATAGTAAATTATGTTTGTGGAGTTGCACCTCGGAAGCTGAACAGGATTTCTTTTGATATCGCACACCTTTGTAGTCTCCTGGCAAGTTCACAGCCTGAGAACGGAGTTACTCTGAAAAGCTGGATGATTTCTAAAGAGAGATCTAGAGAGAAAATTTGGCTAAGAGTCTGTAGGTTTAAAGGCAAAAGTAGTTTGAGTGTAGTCCAGAAGGCAGTGTTTCTATCTGCAAAGGAGCAGTCAAATACTAAAGACTGTAGGTTTTCTGGTATTTCTTTTCAATAGCAGTGTGGCTTAAATGAATACTTTCCTTTTCTATACTCATTTCTACCCTGTGCCATCTTTCCAGTTCATCTAGTAGAATTGTTTATGTGTTTGTTGGGGGCAAGGTCTGAGATTTCATCTAGACTAAAAATAATTTATTAACCATAGAGTGAGAAAAATGATGGAATATATTGTAGTCATCTTCTCTTAAACGAGTCTGAAGATACACATCAGAAGTGCAACATCAGAAGTGCAATATTTGCTTTTTAAAACGTTTGAGTTCATCTGAAGGCCTTAAGACCTTGACTTTACACTCATATGCAAGTTTACTGGACACTGATTTATAAACAAAGTGTCTTTACTGGTGATACCTTAAGTGCTGATTTGAGATTTTCTTTTTCTTGTTGCGTTTTCTTTTTACCTTAGCATCAGATTAAAATTGTGATTTCAGTGGTGCAACAGAGAGAATTTCAGTGCCTGCTTTTTACTTGCAGGGTCCCTTCATCCCTGAATTAAATGCTGAGGTTACCCTAAATAAAGCTTAGGAAGAATCAAGCATCTCTCAATGGGATTTACAAAACCAGCAAGCTTTGAATAAAGACATAGACCTAGCCAGCCTATAAAAGGAGGACGTATCTTATATTTTACCCTTCTCTACAGGCTTATTAACATATTCATTAAGTGTTGCATATTATTATTGTCTTATGTCAGGAGACATTTGCTAGAGAGTTCAGAATGTTTGGTGCAATTAAGTATCTTTTGGACAAAGAGAATTAAGTGGAAAACAAACCAGGCAAAAACTTTAGAAAGTTAATTAGAATAGTGCATTAGCATGATTTCAGTGTAGTGTCACAGTCATGTGACCATGCCAAATCTTTCTGTGGCCTGCAAATTTTGGAGGCTTTTTACATAGAGCAGACAAAGAGCTGCAAACAAGTAAATTGGTAGGAAGTAAGGAGAGGAAATGTGGGAGAAATGGCTGTTCTCTGTACTAGATTGTTATCCTTCCATCGTAGTGTTTTACAGAAGGAAGTCTGATCATTAACAATGCGGTATCTTCATGAACCCTGCAATGTATCTAAAAGGCTAGCACCAATGGTGCCATAGTGATACACCGAGTGTTAGAGTTAAATGATAGATAACATGAGTTACTCTGGCTGGTGCTACCCATTCAGATCCATTGCAGGATTGATGAACATAGTGGCAAATCGGCCATTTGCCTCAACAGTGTCTTTGGGAGATAAGGGCCTTTTCTTTTAATTTT